AAGGAAAACAACGACGAGGAAATAGTAAATTAAATAAGGATAGATCAAGCTACTGTAAATTAAACGTGGTTTATGATTTATAAAAGCACGACGTTAAGCGTTTTAATACCACTGTAGTTGGTCTAGGCTCATATCAAATGGAGTCCCTTAATAAAAGTTCCTATCTACTTTTAATATTCATCACACATTTAATTATTGTGTTTGTCTTCACTTCCAAGTCTGTAAAACTGCGAATACATACTTTTCCACTATCAGTCAGTCAGTCAGCTACAACGTAGGACCAGGCACATATATGCATCGGTCCAAGTTGCCATACCTCGTTAACACAACAAGATGGACACCGGATTTGTAAAAGTAGTTAATTCAGAGGTGGTAATATATAAAAGAAAGATTGCAATAAGGATTTAGTACAGGAGGAAAGAATTAGTTCGTAGAAAGAAAGGTATGAAGCGATTTTAATCTCTTAGTTTAAGGGAAGACAGGGAGTGTATACACCTACGCCATTGTGATCGACTCTGACCCATGTCACCAAGAGTCTCCAACCGTTGGTTACGATAGTCACGCCGGCCCCAACCAAGTAGTCTGCATCTACCAACATGGCTCAGACTAGAAGTTAGTGACTTCAAGCACTGATGCCACGTTTTGGTTTGGCCGCCCCTAACTTTCTTCCAACCATCTCCAACACCGGTTAGCATTGCGCGTCGTGGTAATCGGTGTTCGGGCATGCGTAACACGTGGCCCAACCATCTCAGTCGATGAAGATTCACAACCTCATCAACTGATTTACCATCATTCCCTAATACCCTGCATCTAACTTCACTATTACTTACCCGGTGATCCCAGCAGACGCCAGCAATATTTCTAAGGCATCTGTAGTCAAATACTAATAGCTTACGAGTGTCTTCTACTCTTAATGGCCATGTTACGCTGCCGTAAATTAAAACAGAACGGACTGCCGCGCAGTATACTCGTCGTATTTTTCATAGACGGATATCTTGCCTTCGCCATAGGTGACGTAAGTTGGCAAAAGCCAAGCGAGCTTTTCGGATCCGCGCTGAGATTTCGTCAGACACCAACCCATTTGGGCTGATCAGACTTCCAAGATAAGTGAAGTTGTCAACGCGTTCGACTACTTCACTCCCTATCCTTAGTTCAGGTGTTGACGCAGACCAGTCCTGAAGCAGCAGCTTGCATTTAGAGGGAGAGAAGCTCATTCCAAACATTCTGGCATTGTTGCTTAATGCTACCAGAAGACTCTGCATTTTGTCAGCGTCTTCACCAAACAGGACTATATCATCTGCGTATTCTAAGTCGATAAGTGGACCTCCTGGAAGGAGATCAATACCCGAGAATTCAGTAGACGAGAATGTTATCTCCATCAATAGGTCTATGATCAAGTTAAACAAAAATGGAGAAAGTGGACAGCCTTGACGGACACCACTTGAGGTTGCAAAAGTAGATGACAGTTCGCCATAAGCTCTGACTCGACTGGTAGTGTTCGAGTAAAGAGCCTTCACAAGGTTTATGTACTCCTGAGGTACGCCTTTCAATGACAGACACTGCCACAGAATCTCGCGGTCTACCGAGTCAAATGCTGCTTTCAAGTCAAGAAAGACCACCATTGTCGGACGTCGATAAGTATGCCTGTGTTCTAGAACCTGACGAATGGTGAATATGTGGTCGATGCAGCCACGACCAGGTCTGAAGCCAGCTTGATTCTCTCGTGTTTGCAGTTCACGAGTCTTAGGCGTCTGATAATTATCGAGGCTAGTATTTTAGATACTATATTAGTTAAACTAATCCCTCTTTGGTTGTCACAGGATGATTTTGACCCTTTCTTATATATTGTGACGATATGTGATTGTGACCAGTCAGATGGAATAACGTCTAACTCCCAGATCTTAGCTAAAATATTAGTCAACCTAATCGCCAAAATCGGACCACCATCCTTAAAGACTTCTGGAGCTAATCCATCTGGACCAGCTGCCCTTCCTCGTTTCAGATTAACTATAGCCTTTTGAACTTCAGCAAGAGTTGGGGGACCTACTTCAATGTTCCATTCACACTGTCTGGGAATGGAGGGTAATTGTAGAGTAGCTGAAGGCCAGCTGAACTGTTCCCTAAAATGTTCCGCCCATCGTTCTAAACGTCTGGACTGGGAGCAGATGAGAGTATCGTCTTTTTCCGAAATAGTCTCACTTACACTTGACTTATTAGTTCCAGTTTCTTTTATTAGTCTGTAGAGCTGTCTTGTGTTCCCTATAGCCGCCGCCATTTCCATCTCTCGCTTTCGTTGCCCACCACTGCTCACGGTCGTTTCTTAGACTTTTTCTTAACCTAGATCTGATTTGTTGTCGCTCTTCGTCGTGTTCAGAGCCTGATGGGATGAGTTTACAAGAATCCATCAGTGAAACAGACCTTGAGGAAATCCATTGGTTCTTCGTAACCCTGTGGTTTAAATCACTGATAGATGTCACTGCTGTTTCCACAGCTGTTTGTATGGCTTTCCAAGCAACAACTGGGTCAACCTCGTTTTCAGAACTATCTAATTGTGACCTCAATTTTTCCTGGAACCTACTTTTGGTTTTCTCGCTACTCAATTCAGTTCTAATGGGTCTTTTTACTGTGGCTTTTTTGCGTCCAGTGAGGCGCAAGCAGATGCGTGTCCGTATTAGGGAGTGGTCGGAGTCCAAGCAGGTACTCCAGAATGAGCGACAATCTTCTACCGACCCTCTCCAACGATGACTGATGGCAATATAGTCTATTTGAGTCCATCGTTTGTTTGGTGTAGGGGGTCGCCATGTTAGACGATGTCTCTCCTTATGCTTAAAATTTGTGTCTGCTAAAAATAAACGATTCTCTGAGCACAGTTGCAGCAGATCACCATTATCTGTTCGTTGTGCCGGAATACTAAAATACCCACCTAAATGCCTTTCTGTTTGGTTTAAACTACCTATCTGGGCATTAAAGTCACCTGCTACGAGTACTATGTATGAACGTTTAACTTTCTGGAGAAGTTCAGATAGCTTTCTGTAAAATTCATCTTCCACTTCATCTGAGCTGCAGTCGGTGGGAGCGTAGGCAGAAACGACTTTTCCACTATGCCAACCGATTTCTGTTAAAAGTGACAACTTAGTAACAAAAGAACAAAAACATTTGTTAAAAAACTGGTAATACTACTTGAATATTTATATGTAACCTGAGTAGTAGTCGAGAATATATAAGTTGGGTAAAGATCAACTCGAAAGCACGTTGCGTAGCACGATGGGATGGTGTCGCAGTGATATGTAATCGAGAGGGGGACAGATTCTTTAAGCATACGGAATAATCTTGGTAAATGCACATTAGTGATCAGATATGAAAAGCTACGCTTCAAGTCGTTAGTAAGCATAAGTCGTCCAAAAAACACTAACCTCAAGGTTTATGCGATCACTTTTCTGGGGGGGGGAAATCTGTCTCCAGACTCTGTGATTCGCGTCATGGATTTTTTTAAAGATTTTATCAATAAGCTTATTAAACTCAAACCACTTGATAGTCAGAATCTGTTGATAGTACTCCTTGAGAAGGAGGAAGTAGTAGTTCTAGTGGACTGAAATGTTCAGATTGGCAAAATGACAAGTCTGCCATTAGTTGGTAGCAAGTACTCACTGGTATGTGCTTTGGAAAATCCGACCAACACGTATTTATGACATCTTGTATTTTTTATAAATAAGTGAATGTAATGTAAGTACTGATTTTACCCCCAAGCATTCTATGGGTTACTGAGTTTGAGTTACTTTTATATCTGAATCCCTGATTGTTGCAACCAAGTTATATAACTCTTGATACATTGCTAATTATTCTTTGTTTGCAGATGTTATTTATTTTCTGAAGACCTATAGTTTTACTTATCAAGTATCTTCGATAGTTACGTACGTAAACGTGCAAATCATAGATGGCTGAGGACAGCAGTGGGCTCGGTTACCGACTGGAGGAAATCCAGTCAAGTATTGCAGAGGGAAGGTTAATGCTTAACGTTCTTCGTTCCCTTCCAACCACTGAGGTATTTGGAAACTGAAATTATTTGTTCAGAATAATGATGCATTCATAGTTCGTTTCGAGGATCTGATCAGTAGATTAGAAAACTATCAACTTCACAACAGAAAGAGCGAGGTTTGTTACATTTTTACGTGATTTCTGGTGATTTAGGTGAAAGATGTAAAGTTACAGTTGAGGACACTTAAGGAGCAACAAGACAGAATTCAGTCTCTCCTTGGTCAGACAGCGACGAGTATACAGGTACATATGAGGATTTCGGATTTATTAACCAATTACCAAAATACATTAACCATGTACTTACATTTCAGTATTTGCTGTCATGCTTTTAAGTAGTGATTGCTGAATTGTATTTATATTGTCAGCTCTATCTAATTTTCTTGGTACATCGAATTTCGTAACCTTGTTGATTTTCCATATAAAAAGAAATCATCCGACCGAAGCTGCTACCTTGACGCGGTGGTCGGGCTTGTCTATCGTGATGACCCAACCGAGCTATATTGGCTGGAACATATGTTCCTGTAGGTTCTACCATGCCAGGCAGGTCGATTTGAGAACGGTAAGACTAAAAGCAGCAACTCAAAGTCTAAGGGCAAAGTCGTACTGCTGACTGTAGAGGGGTGTGACAGCAGTAAGGTGTTTCCCTCGGACAACCAGCATGACAGCGATGCTGCCTTCCCATAAGGAGGGGCGGGGTTAGAAAAGGTCGACCCTAAAAATGTCACACCTCACCTTACCTCACTGATTTCCGTCTCTGGCGGTGAGGCCCTTTGAAGAACACATTAAAAACCTTCCACGAAAAGGCTGTGCGCGACGGGCCTCAAGTAGTTGTCCCTTGGGCTCTGCGGTCACGCTCTCAGGTCGTTAAGACCAACACTAATCCGACTTCTATTTCAGGTTTCTCAAGAAATACCCTTCCACGGTGTGGGCAGCCGGGAAGTGACATCAGCCCTCATACCCGTAACAGCGCACGAGACCAAGTTGGTCACATCCAAATCCCTCCTACACCTCCTAATACCTCTCTTATCCTCCCGACTAACCCTCCTCACGTCTCTATCACCTCGCACCGCTAGGGCAAACGATTCGAGTACGTGGAACGTTATTCCTGGTCTCCTGAAAACACTCTCTAAACTACACGTAGGAGCTTTTAACGTCCGAACACTTTGCCAAATAGGACAGCAGGCTTCCTTAGCTAAGACTTTAGAATCCCGCGCCATCGATGTGTGCTGCGTCTCCGAAACGCGCATACAGGATCCGAGTAGCGTCATTCACTTGAACTCACCATGCCAAAATAAAGAACCGACTCGATTCACACTTCGTGTATCTGAAGGCCCTGATTCTGCTTCCCATGGCCTCTCCGGCGTAGGTATGGCATTGAGTCCTAGGGCAGAATTAGCTCTCTTAGAGTGAATCGCAGTAGACAGTCGTTTGTGCGCTGTCCGACTAAACGGAACAGTAAGGATCCGAAAAGATAGAGACACTCGTCGTTGCCTCTTCGTCGTCTTTGCCTATTCTCCCACTGACTGCAGCACAGATGATGTAAAAGATGAGTTTTACAGAAAGCTCTCCGACCTTCAAAAAGCTAGGCGCTCGGGTGTAGTAATAATGGCCGGTGACCTTAATGCTCAAGTAGGTAAACTAAGCGATAGAGAAAGACATCTAGGTGGATCTTATAGCATTGTGACTCAAAGAACAGATAATGGCGACCGTCTGTTGCAGCTATGTTCAGATAACCGCCTGTTCCTTGCAAATACTAACTTTAAGCATAAGGAAAAACATCTTTTAACATGGAGACCCCCTAATTCGTTCCAACGTTGGACCCAAATAGATCACATCGCTATCAGCCACCGATGGAGGGGCTCGATAGAAGACTGTCGCTCATTCTGGAGCACATGCCTAGATTCAGATCATGCTCTAGTACGAGCGCGTATCTGTCTGCGTCTTACCGGACGTAGGAAAGACGCTGCAAGGAAGCCTCTTAGGGCCCTACTTAATGATAGTCAAGCTAAGAGTATATTTCAGGAACAACTAGGAAAACAGTTAGGCAGCCATGTATGTGATGGCCACCCCGACGCAGCGTGGAACGATATCCGGAAAACTGTGGAAACAGCAGTGATATCTGCTAGTACGGTAACCCGTAAGGTTAGGGAGAAACACTGGATCTGAGCAGCATTTATCTCACTGATAGATGCTCGGAAACTCATTCCACCTGGCTCTGAAAATAATGAAGAGCGGAGTCAGCTTAAGCGCAAGCTGACAAGAAGTCTACGCAATGATCGTGAACGGTGGTGGGTAGCGAAAGCAAGAGAGATGGAAATGGTAGCGGCAATAGGTAATAGCAGACAATTGTTCAGACTTGTTAAGGAAACCGATTGTTAGCGAAACACTCTCAGAGGACGATGGACATATTATACATTCTCAATCCAGGAGATTGGATCGATGGGCAGAACACTTTAGGGATCAGTTCAACTGGCCTTCAGCCACATTTCTGTTTCCCGCGATCTCCAGTCGACCTGAATGGTAAGTTGATGTAAGTCCTCCAACTCTTTGCGAAGTTGAAAAAGCTATAGGAAATCTGAAGCGTGAGAGAGAGGCAGGCTCTGACAGGTTTACTCCTGAGATTCTTAAGGATTGTGGTCCAGTATTAGCAGCGAGATTGACTGAGGTCTTAAGTAGGATTTGGGAACTGGACGTAATCCCATCTGACTGGTCTCAATCGCTGATTGTGCCAGTCAATAAGAAAGGACAAAAGTCCTCTTATGACAATCACAGAGGAATCAGTTTGACAAATATAGTGTCTAAAATATTAGCTTCAATAATACTTCGACGCCTAACCAAAGCTCGTGAAGAGCAGACTAGAGAAAATCAGGCCGGTTTTCGACCTGGACGTGGTTGTATAGACCAGATATTCACACTACGTCAGGTTCTAGAACACAGACACACGTTCAGACGCCCCACAATGGTAGTATTTCTCGACATTAAGGCGGCATTCGACTCTGTTGATCGTGAGTTTCTGTGGCAGTGTTTGTCACTGAAAGGAGTACCAAAGAAGTACATTGACCTTATAAAGGTTCTCTACTCGAACACAACTGGTAGAGTGAGAGTTTATGGCTAACTGTTATCAGAATTGATTACTTCAAGTGGTGTTGGTCAGGGCTGCCCACTCTCTCCATTCTTGTTCAACTTTGTCGTCGACGTACTTTTAGAGATAACACTTTCCTCGTCTAGATTTCCAGAGGTTGAACTTGTACCGGGAGGTTCACTTGTTGACTTAGAATATGCAGATGACATAGTTTTATTTGGTGAAGACGCTGACAAAATGCAGAGTCTTCTACGTTGTTACTGACTGACTGACTGTAGTTAGCATCGTTTTACAAATGCCTCAGTTTGAAATTTCACAACACTTAGTCTAAGTTTCATGATTGCTATGTTCAAAATATTGTTTTCATAACTATTTTGCGTCCCCATGTGGTCCGCCAGTTAAACATCGAATTGGTACTTCTCATTGTGCTCATTTTCACTACAATTATGGTTCTTATTCATTTAAATTAGTAAAAGTCACTACTATTTTACTGTTTCCACTGCTTTAGCGTTACTGGCATCTGGGTTTGAAGTTGTTGTCAGGGAAGCAGTTAGATTTACTTCGTTTCTTGTAAATTGTGAAGGCATATTATTCTAATAATCTTTTGTTCAAAATGTATAGGTTGGATTAAAATTGTTTCTTCTGAAAGTTTGAGCATCCTCACTATTAGACGTAGGCAGACATTTTTATTAAAGCCTCTTGTGAATTCGGTTAATGCCATGTGTTCAAAGCGTCCCTTCAGTTTCTTGTCAGTCTGGAGGTCCATTAGTTTCTTCTGAAGATGATAATTAGCCGCCTGTATCAAAAGGAAGTGTAAAGGTCGCCGAGTCAAACTGTTATTCAAATGCTTTGAAATCTTCGGGACATCATGAAAACTCATTAGTGAGGACTAAAACCTGCCGACCGTATTCCTAAACTGGTTCTTGTCGGTCCTCTTGTATAATGTTGGGAAATTAGTGTATTTAAGCTTCTCAAGTTGTTTAGACACTGGATTAAGTTTGGTTTCAAACAATATTTGACAATAAGTGATTCGCATTGTAGTTTACCTGATGGTGGGCTTTTAAGTGAATGGTAGAAGTCGTAAAATTTCGTGTTCACTTACGAATGAAGTTGTGCCTTCAAATAAAGCTTGTTCTCATTGAGTTTGGACTCTCCTCACCCATGTTTATCTTAAAGCCGGCAGTTCAGTTATATAGATACTTCTAATAATTCATTGTTGTGTTTTAATATTTGATTCACGTTTCTTTACTGAAGGGTATTTATGCTTTCTGTAGGATTCTAGTTTATCTGAAGCACCCGGTGGGTCTTCCAGTGATACTCAAGCAAATGTAGTGTTTTCGAATTCCGCATCAGCACTGCTTTCCAAATTTGAGACCTTACTGTCCAATGGAAACAACCAAGGTTGTCAGAAAGATGGTGATCAGGTTTCTTGTAATATTAATTGTTCACGCAACTTTAAACCAAAGCAAGAACCAGCGGAAACTACCCAAGAAAACGATAAACTATCAACCCTTAACACTAAGCAATTGTTGAAACCTCTAGATTGTGAAGAGTCGACAGATTTATCGAACCACTCTGATGTAAGTTTGTCTAATGTTAAATAATCCTTAATTTTTATTTTGAGTAGCTGTCAGGTTAAGTATTCGGAAAGAATGTTTTCTTACTTTTATACACTTGTTTAGTATTTGGAACTTTCTATATTCCCTTATGTACAGCGTTGGTAAAACACTGGGCTCTGGACTAAGAAATTGCAAGTCCACTCTTCTCCATATGTTTCAGCTTGAGCAGTCATTATAATCACTAAACCTCATACAACGTACTGTGTAGGTAGTCCTGTACTTAATAAGTGAGCTACACTGCCATCAATTTCTACTTTCATCCAGAGATAATCAATTTAAGCCAACTAACAAACTGAATAGCTTTATGTATAGTCTTTTTAAATTATATTGGAACCTTGAAATGCTGATTTTACGTTTAAATTTCGTATTTTTTTTGTAATTTAGATTCATCTGTCTGAACTACAGAAATTGATTGAAGAATCAGAAAGATTTGATGAGATGGTTAAACGACTTGTATTAATAACAAGGAGAGCAGTAAGTCGTTTGAGTTGACATCGTTGTGCTAATCAGTCAGTTAGTCAGTCACATGTAACGTGGGGCTTGGGACACGTATGCATCTATTCAGGTTGATACACTTAGCGCAACGAGATAGAACTGTCATGACAAATCATAGAACAGATGTAGCAGTAGTAGTGGCAGTAGAAAAGGTTAGGCATGTGGTTCCATAAGATATGGATTTGTGGGATGACTCTCTTTTATCGTTATTTATTCCTTATTGCGTTCTGTACAATAAGGATTCGACTCTGAACGAATTCATCTTCAATTGTGTTTGTATCCAAAGAATAGCTACCCAGATGTTTAGTTCAGTAGATATTGATTTTGCATTATCTAGTTAAATAAAAAATTTCAAACGTGTCACGTGACTAGTTTATTTCATAACTACAAGTATAAGACTTCGTGAAGCTTCATATCCCGTGTGTCTTAACAACGCAGTTGTGAAACCTAAAAAATTATAAAGCAAAATGTCATTAGTCGATGGATTCATTGACAATTGGACTAAACCGTGTTATTAGATGTAGACTGCCTGGTTGGGGTCCGTGTCATTATCGTAACCAGTAGTTAGAGACTAAGTGGCATGGTTCAAAATCGCTTGGAATGGTTCACGTGCATCCACTCTTCGTTTCTTCCCCAGATTCTATGCTTCTAAATTCCGCATACATTTCCTATTTCATTAATTTGTATTTTCTTGAATCGTCTCTTCGATGCCTAATATTTTTTATTACCACTGATTCTGTTATCATCACTGCTCTAGGATTTACCCTAACGATTTCATCTCCCTATGCTAATGGGTATAACAATTTGAACCTATTTACATACGTACCAGGTTTCATGTCGTTATTTTTCGAGTCATTTGACCTTCCCCAATATTTTCGATACGTTTATTATTCCTACTTTCCATCTTATTACTTTCACCTTATTGTGTTGATGCGGTGTAATAACTTGGATTGATCCATAGTTGTGTCAAATTCTTGTTTGATTTTCGCTGAGTGATTGATATTCACTAATCTGCCCATAATTCTCTTTTAGCTAGCTGTCTTGTTAGCATGTCATCACTATTTCTTTTTTGAGTTTTATCATATTTTCTCATAGCTAACTACGGATAGGGTACGTATCTCGCAATTATTACTGAATCAAATTGCTAAAAATTCAGTAAAAGTAAATTTGCATAGATTATTCTATTTTTTGTACAATAGTGTTCCAATCTCCAGTTTTAACTGGTTTAATTGATGATTATACAGAGTAATTCAATCTATACCTATTCTTTATTCTTCTCTCTCTTTATATATATAATAACATTTTGAAATGCTAATATTGATAAAAACGTGTGTATTTTATGTTAAAATTTATTTTATTGGCTTCATTAGAATCTTGGTGAATCTACAAAGTTGCTGGTAGATATTTCGAAACGATTCTCTGAGCTTCAGATCAGTTTTAATTCACTGAAAGAAAGTTATGATGTAAGCTGTTGTAATATGTTCTGTCCATTCAAAATTGGTATTTTGATATGTTTGCTTTTATTTTTGTTTGTGGATAATATTTTACACTTTAAGAATAACTAAAATCTGAATTAAATCAGTTTAAACACTTAATTTATTATGTGATTTTTAAGTACTCTAGAACTTTTGTACGTAAAAGTACACCATTCAGTTATTTGAAACCACCTAATATTGTGGTAATTTTAACACTCGTTGTACACAACTATCTCACGCGTTGCTCATTCTTCCGTGGCAAATATCAAAAGTAATCTCAGATCAAAGGGAATATGCACATGTATCTGACTAAAATCAATAATCCATTCGTGATAATGATCTATTATTTCTCATACCAATATTATATTAAATATGTGTATATATGCTTTGATTTCTAAACAGATGTGCTACATTTTCTGCATAAAAATGTGTTTATTTTTCAGTCGCTTCATAGTGAACCTCAACTCCCTCCTGAATTGCGTAAAGTTCAGGTAAGTGTATTGATTGTTTTTCTTCGATTGTTTACTAGTGTTTTCAATGTTCAGTTCAGTTGCATGTTTTTCCATCATTTCTATTTTAATAAATGTACTATTGTGTTGTTGTAAACTTCGTTCCTAGATTCACTTTTTTCCATTTTTATCCTGTTTAAAGCATGAATTCAATGCTTTATTTTGGCTTATATATGTACTTTATCAAAAATTATCATCTTACAATTTTAGCTTTCAAGTTTTCGTGAATTTCTCAACAGTCTTAGCCGTAATTTTGATTCAACCAAAGAATGCTTTTACACAATTCATCATCTTGTCAAAGCTACTATTGAACAACAACTGGTAATAATTTGGCTTTTTTCTTTCTTATGTATTTATTGTTATCATGTATACTTTTATTATTTCATAACATTCAGCGTATTGTTATATTCATTTGACATACTCGCTTTGTTTTATCTACACAAAATGATATTACAGCCAAATACTTATGGCATGACCGTTTTATTTCTGAAGATTATGTTAACAGGCATTTCATTTTTCTAACATTAACTCTATAACATCTAACGCTTATTAGTCTTCATTTGCGAATGTAAACATTTGTTGCCATTTCAGAGTCAAAAACGGAACGCGGAATGAGCATTCCAACTCCTTAAACATTATTTATATTTAAACATTTTAATAATATTATTAACTCTCGTATTATAACTGTGTCCTCATTCGCTATTATAAGAATATATTTGTTTTTAATCATTAGAGTATTTTCATGTAAAGCAACAGTTCACCTTTTGTAAGTGTTTTTTGTTCACCAATAAATTTGTACGTCCAACTTCTATGAATGATGAGGCCTTCACATAGAGCATTATAAGAAATCATCACATAACTAATACTTTATATCCATGTATTTTTGTTCATTTAGAGACTTAACCAACGATTTCGAGCATGTTTTTTATGTATGCGATTTAACTTTGTTGCTTATCAGTGCCAATTAAAGTACATATTATTTTGGATGTATTTCTACATATGGAATTCACAGATGTCTGATAGATTGAGTAAATATTCATGTAAACGATGAAACACACCTGAAACTTCCTTACTAACTCTTATCCATTAAAATGATAAACTGAATATTATATACATCGTTTTTTGGTATTAGTTTATCGCCAAATCTCTACTCTCACACAAACAGTATTCTTGTGTCATGTTGAGTTTTTCATAGATATTCAGTACAACATAGAAATTTGTAAAATACAGAGCTTACTCAAGATGTATTGTACGTTGTTTTTCTGGGAAAGGTAATTTTTAGCTTACCGTCTTTAGGTTGTCTTCATTATCCATGCATACACATAACAGGTAGACTAAAAAGCAGTCGATAAATACCCACATTATTCTCATAGTTCACTAGTTGAGATTTTTTATTTTTTGCAATCGTTTCATAAACAAGTGTCCTGCAAAGTTTCTAACCACTGTTATACATTCTGTTATTCTTACTGTATACTACAGAGAGGATATAATCTGATTCAAGGAGTAGCAAAGTTATATCCATCCGGTAGTACATTCGTTCTTTAAAATCTATTTTTTCTTGTTTTTTTCTAAAGGCGAATGGAACACTGCAGGATGTAGATCATAGTGATGAAGAAAATAATTCAACTTTGCCTGTCAATCCAACTGGTTCTGTTACTGTAAAAGACAGTAATATAGAACTAAGTAAGACCTTTTTCCCTTATTTCCAAGTCATGTAAATACAGTGTAATACCGGTATTTAAATGGTATAACATGTATAACACTTTTTTGTTATAATATTAATAAATATCCACAATAATTTCTAGTAGTAATAAGTAAGTGTATTTTTTGTTTTTTGGTTTTGCCAGATACAAGCAAACAAATTAATGATGAACACGTTGAAGATGGTGACCCTGAATTTCTAACTCAAAAGGCTTATTTAATAGCATTACAACAGCGTACAGCTCAAGAAAAAGAAGAAATTGCAAAATTACTACAACAACGAGATGAACTAGCTGGACGTTTGGCATCACTTAAAGCAGGTAATCTTCTCGTCAACAAAACAGAAAGATCATTATTAATGTAAGGGACTTTCATAGTTTACATCACGAACTGAAATCAGTTATACAACAATTAAAAACCAGGAAGCACTGGGCAGATTTTTCGTCCTAGTGTGGGGTTCCTCATTAGTGCACACCCTTCAGCCCACTGGGGATCTGACACAGAACCTTTAGGTCTTGCGACAAGGGATTAACTTTTAGACTACTGGGCGAGATTATAATTTATGGACGACCCTTGAACGAGTCTTAAGTGAACTTGAGAAATACTGACCAATCAGAAAGCAGTATAGAGTAAAAATATACTATACAAAACCAAAGAATTAAAGTGGATACACTTCTTTTACATGGTTCAAAAACTTGTCGAGGTTAGAGAGAGGTTCGGAGGTTCTAGAATCGTAATGCATAAGGTAGAGGCACTCATCCATGTGGCTCCATAATAGTTGGCCTCTGGAGCCATGATAAGGTTGCGAAAACTCTTTCAGCCTCAACCACATAGCTTCAATATCGTTAGTGCGCACTCTGGTTGCTAGGTCCACAAATGGCACTTGTGGATAGCAACATGATGCTCATAGCCCAGTCTATGTAGGCGTTTGTACACTCCACTCATCTGTATATATTGTAGTGCCCAGCTGCACATATTCCCATATAATTGGTATTATCATTGTTGCCTGTCTGTTTCTAACCCGTTGGAAGTGTCCCTTTTGAGATGACCTGTCGTATATTCCAAGGACTTGTGAGATATATTTATGAAAGTGCTACTTACCCTGTCTTCTTTAACAATATATCCTGTGTTGAATTTTCGTTTTCTGACTACTGTTTCGTCTATTTCAACGATTCTTCCGACTCCACCGAACGACTCGTCTAAGTTCTTCATTTTGATTTAGCATATATCTCTACAATACTCATTCCACTGAACAGCTAAAGCTTCAGTAACATTTGCAAATTTTGCGGCCGGTGTTGCTGGTGCTTTTATTATCCAGTTCTCAACAATTATCATAATTTGCTTTAGTCTCAATGTGGATCGAGCGAAAGAAAGTTCCTTTTCTAGCAGACTTCTTCCTCCAACATAAATAACGTCAAAGCACAACATCGTCACTGTAGTCTGCACAGGGTCCAGCAGTCATTTGATTACCGCAGTCACAAATAAAGGAACTTCTTAGTAATTCCATTTGTTGTAGCTGCTCAATTATCACGTCTTCTCTAAAATCTGCTGTAAACCGATCGTATGCGAGCATCGAGTGCCGAAGTTGACGTCGTGACCTTGAAATCCCTGAAACGCTTCTGCTTGGCTCGTCTATAAATTGTAGTCTCGCCGACTATTGGGTCACCATCCTAACCTTACAGTCAATTCAAGATATTACACAACCATTTTCCATTACCATTGGTGGGTTATCTATTGTTTGTCTGTTCAGAAAAAACCAAGTCACTTGTAATTTTTATGGTAAATGATTTCTTCTTTTTTTATTTGTCTTATCAATTTAGCTGCTAGTAGAGCATCATTTGATACTCGTGTTACTTCTGGCGACTCAGTCGAATCAACTCAAACTGATGAGTTGGAAAATGGAGATGAACGGTAACATAAACATGTTCTTTGATATTGCAAGATTTAATTTTCCTTTTTGCAATGTTTTTCAGTGCACGTTTTAGAACTATATGGGAAGCTGTTATATTTAATAATAATAATAATAATAATAATAATAATAATAATAATAATAATAATAATAATAATAATAATAATAATAATAATAATAATAATAATAATAATAATAATAATAATAATAATAATAATAATAAATATTTAAAGCTTAAATCACACAACACAAACTGACAATTAATTGTAAAAACTATATTTTTACTCCTAGTAATAGTGGGTCGGTCAGTGTATCACCTGACATACTTTCTAGTCTGGAAGCTAAAAAACGTGAGTTAAATGAATTAAAGACTCAACTTGAACTCCTTCGCAAGGCTGAAGCTAAAATCGCTAAATTTACACCAGCTCTACGAGGTCCAAGAGATATACATAATTCAAACATTGCTGCTCTACCACAAGAGACGTTAGACAATAAGCTAGTCACTTCTGCTTCGCAGTCCATTCTTCCAGAAGTCAGTTCACCTCGGACAAGATTTGCAATTTATAAAGATGACTCTGATGATCTAGTAAATACAAAACCCGCTGGAAATGTATCATTATCTTCGGATTTATCAACCAAAGCTGATTCTGTGACTTTTCAGGTACCCATTTTCGGTATTTTTCTAAATTGTTATTATGTATTAGGTTCTCATTTAAAACAGGCAATGTTAAGATGATATCATGAATTACTTATTGTTAAGAAAATTTCCGAATAATCCTAAATAGCATGTGTTATGACATCAACGAAATATGGCATGAAGTTGAATAATTATTGTTACTGACTTCTACGTTTTTATGGGGCATAGTTTTCAGTTTCTTTACTAATTTTTATAGTGCCTCATCACACTAATTCTAAAAATTTTAGATTAAGTTTGTATTTGCTTTTTGGCTTATATGACGAATACTTCATCTGAAGTTCTAATTCCAAGAAATATGATTGGAAGTTGTGCATTCTACGACTGTTAGTATATATATATATATATATATATATATATATATATATATATATATATATATTGTAAGAATTGAATTACTACTTGCGTTTGTATACTATACTAATTAAATTTAAATTGAAGCAAGGCTAAGGTATATTAAGTTCGCATAAAATCACTTCGAATTTATAGAAGTATAGGGTGAAAGTGTAGTTTTCTCGAAAACCTCTGGGATTTCGAAATCCCGAATTTAGGAGGCCTCATTGACCGATGCACTTCCTTTGGTAACCATATTTTCATTAAAGCTGAATTACTGGGCAAAGATATATCACATTCTATCTCAAGTCCACTGTAAACGAGATCCAGGTTCGGGTGGGATATTAGTGATAAATAAATTTTTCACCTAGCCCGAGGTTACCACTCACATGTTTCTGTAAGTCTAGCAGTATATTATATGTATATGCTGTAAGCATCAATCGAGTTTGGAAACTAAACTCTTTACAGTTTTGATGTTTTTTTCTCCATAGTTAGTAGCAAGACATCAGATTAATCCAACCACAGAGCGCGAGGACGGACCTTTATTTGTATTTGTTTAGTTTTTTTAAGAAATATTACTGTCCAGAACGATACACTATTTCATGTAGGACTATGGTTTGATCCAGTTAACCATTCTATTCAAGATATTCAAGCACCATTTTTATTTAAGAAATTTGAAATGTATCTGAATTTCTGTAGGATTAAGCCTAAATGTTTTCAGTTTATTTTAGCAACGTTTTTATTTGTTTGTACAGCAACCAGAGGTGACCTGTATTGATAACACCGAACGTTTGTATGTTAATATGCGTGAGGCACGAATACAAATAGAAGAACAACGGAATCGATATGATCGGAGTACTTCAAATGGAATCAATAATACCAATTCTACCGCTCAAAAACCATTGCAGCATGTCAGTTGTAGCGGTGCTTCTGTCGCAACTAGTCAAGATAGAACAACTCTAGCAACTTGGGGTGGATCTTCACCTGTCCCTTCTTGTTCATCTGAAGCTTCTGAAGCAAGTGACGAAGGAGATGGAGTTAGTGTTTCTGACTCCCTACCTTTAAGTAAGTTTCTCTCTGTTAGGTCATGCTTATTAGCTATAACACACCTAGGCATATGGTAGACTAGTCAATTTTAGGTGTAAATAGTTGTTTGTCTTCCCCAATCTTCATACTGTTCTGCGTTACTATCACACTGAGTGTGGATACGTTTACACGATCATGAGTGCCAGGTTGTTTTGCAATGAGTATCCTGGATCGTATAGTCAAATTGGGTGGGTCACTGCATTCCTTCTTGGTCCGAATTGTTGAAAATCCTCCTTATTACATGGAAGTACACTATTTACGAGTGATGTTGGTTTGTTCAAATAACACTGGATTTCAAATTGAATATGTACATGGATGAATTGTTTGTCCTTTTTGTTTAAACAGGTTTGTTTTATTTTGAACTTTTAGTTTTTACTTTTCCAAGTCTTAAAAATTATGCTAATGTTCACCTCTCCTCTCTTTTTCTCTGAGATTTCCACAATTATTCATGTTTTATGCATTTCCTGTTGATTTCTCACTGTGTCAGCTGATGGATTTGTGACATATCTCAAGTTATATTTCTGTTTATTTACTTTAACAAGGAATGGCTCAGACTTGTTCACAGTGGTGTAGATTGCTTCAGTTATTTATTATGTTCTATATTTTACGTTCATATGTTCCTTCGTACATACCATTTTCATTCCATTTTCTCGAGCCATACTTTCAGTGTTTAATCTTACTGTCATTGCTATTATGATTATTTTGACTCGTTTGCTGTTCATCTTGCTAGTTTTATCTCGCATGGCAAGTTGGGCTAACGCACATTTGTGCCACCAGACTCCAAGTTGATTATAACTGACTAACTGATTGTTTCAATAAGGAATAGGTTATTTGTTTCCTTTTTTGCTACTTAATTAACACTTCCCATAATATGTACGCCATAATTAAAAAGGGTTATTACATTCTTAGAGATCATTCAATGTTTACGGTACTATTTTATCTTGACACAAGCTAATAACATTAGTTCACAATGAATAATAACTACTAGTCCGATATATCTCACATTTTTTCATGTGAATGTTACCTGTGGATTATCATTCCAAACTGACTTATTGTACACCCATAGAATAAGTATTTGTGTTGTATCACTTCGATATCTGAATTTTATATAAAGGAGCAGAAATGTAGTTGTAGGTTCGCTCAATGTTCATAGCGAAGAAGTAATGAAAATATCTTTGACATCCATCTCCCGTCCGTTTGTAGAAGTTTTAGGGGAGAAAAGTAAAAATGTGATTATATAATACAAAGTCAGTCATCATCCGGATAAAACTTGAGACAGATGTAAGTGGTCTCAAGTTGCACACCACATTAGCACGACGAGACGAATAGGAAAACCAATCGAAATCATGTAGTAGCAATCATAATGACTAAACATTAGGAATATGGTTCAAAAAGATAGAGTGAGGCGATATTCTATATATATATATATAAAGTAATACTGTAATTCAGGCAAAACCAGTCAATCTTAAGTAGAGATGATGTACTGTACTTAGTACAATGTGTGACTTATGTTTACAGTAAATATATATTAGTTTTCCATAAATGTTTTTATATTATACATTTTAAGGATTTTTGAAACTATCAAAGTCATTGACAAGTAATACAACTAAAAAATAACTAATCTTCACTTATATGATAATTACCGAGTTTAATAGGAAGAGAAGATACTTTAGGGTTCTTAATATTCATTTATAATCATTTATATTGCTCTGTGGTTCATGTCATCTTGTAACGTTTAACTGTGATACATATGCATTAAAATGGGTCAAAATCATAATGTTGTTGATAAATGATTTTTGAGTAAAAATGAATAAATAAATTAAAGACCATATCCACAACCTAATGATCTATAGTGAGCCAGGATTTCATCGTTATATGTTTTTATATGATAGTTTAAAATGTTTGTTTTTCCCAGTTAAATTTAGTAATCAAACTGTTTGCGTAATCTAACTTTAAAAAATTGTTGATTGCACATCTACAAACTGTACTTAACTCACTCTTAATTCCTTTAGTGACAAATCCATTCAACTATATACTCATATTTCCCATGTTTACGTGAGAATTCTACTCTTGAAAATCAAATATAAGTTATTTTTTGCTACCTAAAATTCTTAGTTGATATTTTTTGTGGTCAAAATCAGTGTGAATTTAATTCTCATAGACAAAATGTACGAGTATGATGATGTCTGAAGTTAAAGAAAAAAACAGATTAGTTTCATTGAATTAAACACTAATATCATGTACGAACCTTCACTGTACATTTTAGTTTAGCTTGGACAACATGCTATTATCATTCAAAATTTCAGATTATTTGTAATAACCATCAAATGTAAATGTCAAAATTTTTCTTAAGTGGTGGACAACTAAGAAATTTCTCTTTGTTACTCCTTAGTAGTGACTTTTTTAGAAGAGTAATAAACCTATTAGTAAGTTTTATTGTTTCTTTGTAATTTCAATAGGTACATGTCTTTCAGTGTCTGCAGTTAATAATGCTTCTAATGTTATTCGATCTGTTCCCAATGGGCATTTGAAAAGTGTACCCAGCTCTGTTGCAACCAGTTCCTTGGATATGCCTGGTGAACCATGTTCAGTTATTAAGAGAGCATCAAGAAAATGTGAAGATATTCACGGAAATAATTTAGATAATGTTTATGTTTCTTCTACTGATGATGTTCCATATAAATTATCACTTCCGCAGGTTGGTCGAAGTCCATCTCCTCCAACTCGTCACAAAAACAAATCAGGGGATACTCAAATAAAGGATGGTTTAAATAAATTGATTGATCAACGTTTACACTCACAACAAAATTCATTAGGTGAACACACTAATGCTTCTGCTAACCAGAATACTGGAGTTTTGGGTCATATAGTTGTTGCATCAAATTGTAATGACTTTGATGATGGTCGAATGTCAGATCTGTCTGGTGCCATAGCCAATGAACGTAAGTTATTGAGAAAATTTCTATTCGATGATCTCACTAATATGCTATTTCCTTAGTTAATCATTTTCTACTGGTAATAATGTTACCAAAACTACTTTAATCACAAAATTCTATTATCTATTTTATTCTAACCGAAACTGTATTATAGGTTTTCTTATACAAACCACAACCGTTATCACTTCATTGTCTCATCCAGGTATTTGTAGGTTTGACTTAATTTGTTAAGAATGATCAGGAGTACTTGGTTTATATGCCATTATTTAGCTGAGATTAATACAGACAACCATCTTGGCACCAGTTTTTGGTTACTTTGCCAATAAAGTCCTTTTATAACTTATCCCATCATTTCGATGTTTTCTTTAGTTATCCAGTGGTAGTATTTTAAGTATGCCCCTTGAAATCTTCGTAATCATTGTACTATCATATTCTAGCTTTCAACCATTGTCAATTCTTAGTTGTAAATTGACTTAGGAGTGTTGTGAATCGAACTGCATTTAACGATAGCAAAATTTATCCATGATGAATTTACTGTGCAAGCCTATACGAATTTTTATTTGCATTTGTATTGCATATATAATACATGTGATAACTGAAATTCTCATTTTAATTATTCTGGTTACTTTGTTCTCATTCTCATGAATAACTTTGAACTCATATCTCTATATGCATTTTTCGTATAATTGAGAATTTTTATTTGTCGTACTGTGTATTTGTATTGATTCAGTGGAATATGTTAATTTTAAGCATTTACCACCTCATTGTATTATTTTCGGCTTGGTTGTTTAGATTGCTAATGGTAACTTAAACACCATTCAAATATTACTCATCACTCATGTTCCCATTATATGCTTAACGTACATCTCTAACGGTTATTCACTTCAATTTAGGATAAGAAATTCGAATTCATCAATACAAACAGCGTCTTATCACTTACGTGAAGATCATTTGTTTCCGAACTAGTACTATTTTCTACTTGTCAGAACTGACGGTTTTTTTGAAGTCTTTTTTTACCATGATTTAAAAAGGGATCTTAGCTTCACATATGAAAAGAAAAAGTAACCAGTTACCTTATAACTGAAATTATTTTTAAATTCTAATGGTTATTTATTTAGTTTTCACTTTCTTAATTCATATTTTAGAGCAAAAGAGAAGTATTAAAATACATCCAATCGTAATATCTTTACTAGTATTACTAAACACGTGCATATATTTAGAAAAAGTGTTGTTTCTATGTGTGTTTGGAGATTATTAAAATCAAACCGACAGTGGTATTTCTTGTTTTTTATGTACGCGTTTCTCTGTTTACCAATAAAGTTGTAATTAATTTTTATTACTACATGAAACCTAAAAGTTTACTCTGAATGGGTCAAATTTTTGGTAGTTTATATAGCTTTACGTTGGTTTATGTAATACCCTATAATTGTATTATGTGAGGGAGTGATTTTGACCATCAGCATTGTATGTTTATCTTTCCAATAGGGATTCAACGCTTAGAGTCAAATGTAGCCCAGCTCTATCAAGTATGTCGTTGTTTGATGCTCGAAAACTCTCATTTGAATTCTACAGTCACTCAGTTAATGTTACACAACTCATCTCATCAGCCTATTTCATCCATCACATCTTTGGAGCCGTCCATTTCAGCTGTTGGATCTATTGCATTTCATCAGTGTCAATGTAGTTCGTCTATTCCAAGTTATAACCAAATACTATTAACTGACTCTGGAGCATCTTACCAAGCAATGCTTTATAGACAAGAACATCCATCAAAGAGTTTACCTTGTTCCTTGAATGTATGTCCACGAAGTTCTTTTGCGTACGCTCCTAATAGTTTAAGAGATACTGACCAGCCGCTTACACAGAGTGGTGTCCATGAGGTTCCCCAGATCCAGGTATGTTTAATTTCTGTCATTTTCCCAAATACATGTCCGTTATTCTGTTTATTATTGGAATGTCAATTTTGGTCCGTTTAAAAGGATTATATTAATAATGTTTGTGATTTTTGCGACTACAAATAGAAATCATCATTAGTTTATGTGAAATAAAATAGCTTCATTTCTCATTGAAATAAGCGTAAGTAAAGATGAAGGCAGGTGCAGATGAGTTTACATAAAGGTTGTATATATCTTATTCATATAGTCAAAGGCTAGAGAATGCAACTGTTTCATTGGTTATATAACAAAATATGTATGGGAACCCCTATACAATCACACGTCCTAGTTTTGTTATATATTACAACTATTTTCTATAGTGGAAATGTATTATAATTGATGTATCTTGAGGATCGCTAACCAATATCGCGTGCTAAGCCATCAATTAAAATCCTTATCCTAATTTGGTCTATTTTGCATCTACTCTTTCTTTGATAGCCTAGTGTCCTCGGATTAATCAATCACACGCCCGACCAACACTGTCGACCTTGACCCGATCCAGTTACGCTTCTGTCTCTCCGTTATTCGCAAGCTTCACTCTATGCCCCTACCTTGAGTCCAAAAGTCGGCAACCAACTTCCGCCATATTTATATTTCAGACAGACATGGTTTATATGCAGACATATCGAACCTCGTCACACTATAAAGTGAGAAATAACAACTATACATAAACAAACCAAAGGTGTCTATGAATGGGGAGAGCGTAAGCAATCGTCTGGCAACAGATTAGAAATAGTACGTCGTATGATCATAGTTTATGGGTTAACCGAAATCTTATGATGAACAAAATACATAAACATGGTACTGTAGTTACTTATTAAGAATACAATTAGAAAAGTAATTCATAAACTAGTTGTTGAAGTTACCATTTTCTCAACCTTCGTTCTGATATGTCGATAGTAGTTTGGGGACTTATGTCGTAGATATGAGCCCCAACCATCTTACTATGGTTTTGTCAACTGACTGTTGTCACTGTCCTTCATACGTAAAATATATTTTTCGTAACCGAATCTGTGAGCAATTCAAAGTGATTATTGTTGTTTGTAAAGGATTGTAGATCCACTTTCCTCATCTTTGTTTCGAATTCTCGATTTGAACCACACTTCTTACACTATACTACTAATAAATATTTGTTTCATCTATTAATCCTAATCTTTTCTCTTTAGCTGCTTATTAATCAAATTATGCAACAACAATCTAATCTTACTCAATTGCAATTGGAGCTTCATCGTTTGACGCGATCACAGTCACAAATTAAGCCGTCATTTCTTCCTACTGATGGTAATTTCCATGGACCTTTATTGTCTCATCCGGAGAATACTGGGTTAAATTTTCCGGCTGTTACTGCTCATTTACTACAGGGGACCGCAGGATTTCCTCCGTCTGTCGAGTCGATCAGCCGTCAGGTTAATTTTACGGGAACCAATAATTCTCCTCAAGTGCTTGGAAATTCTCTTGTCTCACCCCAAACTTTGTCGGCTAACTGGTCTTTGAATACTGTTCCTAATGTTCACCAGTGTTCCAGAGATGCTACATTTTCAAATATAGGTAATGGCCATTTTATATTTGTGTATTACTCATTGTTGTGTGATTCAATTTCTACTAACTGTGTAGTGATAACGTTACTTAAGATCAGTCGAATCATGCCTTATCACGATTGCTCGATTGTTTTGGATTCATCAAATGCATATTGTTAAAGTTAGGTGCAAAGTTTTATGCAAACAGTGCTTATTTATTCAGGTTTTGGAATTGAATCGACTGATTAGAATCTAGGCTATATGTTGTATGATATACCGCGATATTTAATTTTAAATGGAGGAACAGTTTAAAAAAGTTGTTCAAACCATGACTTGGCACCATCCCGTAAAAACACTTATTGTCATTCTGTCGGGGATGTTAGATCCCCAGAACTCACTTGGTAGACGTCTTATTTTTGTAATTTTATTTTAAAAATTTGAATTTCTTGTTTTCACATCGAAAGCGCCCATTTTCATCTTCATACCGTATTTCCCATTTGGGAGGACTTTAAATGTCATTAGTTCGTTGTCCCTTTCAAGATGCTATTTTGTTACGTCTACCAAGGACATCTTTATGCTATATATATATATATATATATATATATATATATATATATATATATATATATATATGTTTGAGTTGTGCTTGTTGTTGTTCGTGCTTCTGGCTGCTTGTGGAATACATTTTCCCTCTTTCAAACATAGACTTCTCTCTAGTTAGAGGGGCTGCGATGCATCGGAATAATTAGCTTATTTGGTTATTGTGTCGCTGAGTCTTCGTTCGATTCTCAAATTTAGGTGAACTCTTAGTCTCTTCAAACATAGCACATTCTGAATATTAACAAAGCGTGGAGACTTTCAAGTAGGATGTTGTAGACTGTAGCAATTACTAGTTAATGTCATAGTGCAGAATTATTCACAATGGTACAGATCTTTTATTTTTCACTAGATTTCTAATGTATCGGTACTTTTCTTCTGTTTTCCTACTAAACTTATTTCGTTCTCATTTATGATTACATTTTTTGTTAACATTTTTCCTTGTATTTTACCTTGGAGTTTAACATCGAATGGTACAGGGATGAGATAATTGGCTGGTTCACTGACTACACTAGGTTAATTTGGATAAGACTAAAGATGTCCACCAGCATATCAAAGTGGATTTGAACAAGTAGTAATATTGATTAAATCTAGTCACTTCATTGTCGACCAATTATTCGATGAAAAATTTCTCATTTTCCAGCTACTTGAAGGTTAATAAAAAAACATCTTTGTGATGCCCCAATCAGTAGAAAATTGTATTTCTGATATTTCGTGACCTAGTCTAAGTTACTTCTTTACAGTAGATAACTATCACTTCCAACTTTGGCCTTGACACTTATAAGCTACTTGAAGAGTTTGAAATATCATATGTTTGATAGCTTTTGACCAGAGAAATTTTCGGTATCATTCACGTGCTTCACTCCTATCAAGATAGTTTTGAATAATTAGTTACAACAAAGTTGTCGTTTCCTAAAATAGTTTCGACATGATTCAACGATATACTTAAATATATTCCCTGATTCGTAGCCTGAGAAGTACAAAAGCATTTAAACAGTGAACAGTTTAGACCTTAATATGAAATACAATATCTTTTGGGTAATGTATTCATATCGAACCTCGTCATTTATAATTGAGTTTTCAGTTAGGCATGACTAAATCTCAAGATACAGTGAAGGAAGTGGCGCTCAGTAGTTGTTATTTCCTATCTTTCCTTAATTTTGAAGGTGAAAGACTTTTATAATGATTATTTATTTGATACATATGAGGGAATGCAGGTCAAGACAACCACTATAGCGGAAACCTCAACATGCACAAGGATAAAACCAAGATCTTCAAATACAACACGGAGAACAGAACACCAACATGCTTCGGTCTGGGCACCCTGGGCAGTATTATAACCCACACACAAATTAAGTGATTTGTGTGGCACATATGTATCCGGTGCCCCTTTGTACCAATATTTATATGTTCAAACAAATAAACCCGATCACACTTGATAGAGAAGCTCTGGAAGATGGGGTGGAAACTCTCGTATCTGAAAAGCATCATCGATAAACAAAAAGGATCGAATGCAATGTAAAGATAAGGATTGGTGACACAAGGACAGCATTCCTGCAGTTGAAGAAAATATAGAACTCTAAACAACTGTCAACCAACATCAAAGTCAACATCTTCAGTACGAACGTCCAGCAGTCCTACTGTACATACAAAGCTGAAACTTGAAGAACTACTATAACCGTCATCAGAAAAGTACAAGTATCTATAAACAACTGTCTCTTCAAGATACTCAATGTCCGTCGGCCGGATGCCATCAGCAACAGCCTACTGTGAAAGAGGACAAATCAGCTTCCAGTTAAAGAAGTTAGGAAAAGATGCTGAAGGTGGATAGGACATACATTTAGGAAATCCTTAAACTGCATCACGAGGCAAGCGCTAGCTTGGAATCCTAAAGGGAAATGGAAAAGAGGATGATCAAAGAACACACTGCGTTGGGAATTGGGAGCAGACATTAAAAGCATAAATAGGAACTGTAAAAAACTGGAAAGGACTGTCCATGACAGAGCTTGATAGTTAATGCTGGTGGGCGGCCTATGCTCTTCCACGAAGAGTAACAAACGTAAGTAATATTATGTAATATCGACTTATTGTTAGTTATCCTGTTTGTCACTCATATATATTTCATCTACTTAACTAGTTTTTGTGAATTTAATTTTATATGTAGGTCAAAGACCATCTGTACAAACTGCATCTATTCCGAGCTCTGTTTTACTAACTGATCCCAGTGTGAATCTTACATCGCCTCATGGTTCTTCTATCGGTCAAAACAACATTGGTAAGTCTTCATCTGATTGCCAATATGGTATCCTAAACTACTCACATTTTTATGCAGTTGTCATACATTGTGAAGGATTAGTATCAGATTTGAATTACCCTTGGATTTTTTTTACTTTCTGTGCATTATAGAACTTATTAGCTTCCATTTAAACAAGTATTATTATTGTGTGGCTATACTCAAGCCCTTTCAATTGGAATGAGGTTTAAAATCTCATGACTCGTTAATTGAATACTTAAATCATTGAGTTGTGTAGTGAACGAACACTCAGATGAGGAAGACCAGTTAATTGCTAAACGCAAAATTACAGAGTGCTTTCGTAAAATATGAAAGGCATGCATTAAATGCATAATTTGCACGTCTTCCATCAGTTTTTCTGATTCTTTCAATTCTGTTGCTGTTACATTTAATTTCTGTTTTCTTCAGTTAAATCTCCGCAATCTTCTACTGGCACACATTCCACTTCCGATTGGTGTTGCATGCTACTTATATCTGTTAACATAAGTAGCTTATACCACAGTTGTAATTATCATAAAGAGATTTTTTATGGTACAAATATGTTAGATAATTATAAACTAGTACAATAATTAATCCAGAATTCCCTATATGTATAATTTTTTTGAACTGATAACCTCAATTCATTCGACTGATTTCAATGCAGATTTAATACTCAAATAGTTTTAATTCTTACTTACACTGATATTTGTTACTAAAAGCTAGAGATTACAAATAATATTATGGTAATAAACTCTAGAAAATCTATCTACTAGTTAATTTTACTTCACATAGGCTTAATGTTCATAGTGTTAACTAAACCTGAACTTGATAAATTCTAATTTTTTGGATGTTCTGAAAACCACTAATGTGTACTTATAAGAACATATTGCCATGGATCCAATTGAAGACTTTACTTTTAAAGTTATGTATAATTTCGTTTATAAATCTACTGGAGCGATATTTGAACATTCGAATAAACAATAACTGGGTTTCTAACAGCTCATTTTATCTATAAGGTTTGAGGAGCGTTAATCCATTGTTTCTAAACAATTAAAAGAGGATGTATTTGAAAGTTTATGGTATTCAGCTCATTTGATCCACTGGAGTTTACTTCTCTCCCCCTTCCTTTACGGTCTATCGTTGTATGTTGTATTTTGATCCCGCTTCAGATTCAATAATTGTTTCGCTTTATATATATATATATATATATATATATATATATATATATATATATATATATATATAGTACAATGTATGACGGACTTTTTTGATGAACCCCATTTTTTCTGAATGTTTCAGGTTTCAATAGACATATCTAACGATGAATCAGAAAATATCTCACATTGTAACGTTTGATCTCACTTGATAATCAATTTTAACAATTAATTTTATTGTTGCATTTAGTTTTACCATTTTCGACTTTTTCGTTTACTTTATTTTTCTTGAGAATGTAGTACGTTTCTTTTTAATATTGAACAATGTGTTTAGATCAGTTGTGTTTCCTTCTAATCCCTTATTCTATATCCAACACTGACGGCTATTTCACTCAACCAAATAAATCTCCCTTTAGTGCTCATCAAAAAACTCTGTTTATGAAATAAGGTCTATCTTATTGTAGTTTTAATTTATTAACATCATTTTGTTTTCATATTCCCAACCAAAAAAGGACAAACAAATAAATTAGTTGGAATTTAGTTCCTATGCATTATTATTACAGATCATCTGATATATTGTTTCTTATCTTCAATCTTGTCAACACTCAATGCATTAAAATAAAGATGAAATGTAACTTTTTGTTCAGCCATCTTGTTTGTTTTTAATATTCTATATCAATAAATTGTTTTAAGTAGTCAAAGCTCACTTTAATTCGACCTATCTGTATAAAGAAAAACTTGGATACTAAATGTTAAGTCACAGGCTTGAACCTCACTCTTTGTAAGTTAGTTTGAGCAGGTGGTCATTATCTGAAACCTTATATCATAAGTTTACTGTATTATCAAGTACTTCATACCTTACTTGATCATTGTAAAGCATTATCAGATAAGTTATTGTTTTGTGTGAATATATTCCAAATTGTATATTTAATCTATATAATTCTAACTTGTATTTGGTGGTCCAGAACCAATCTAGTCAAAACACCGAATGTTTTGCATATTTACGTAATATTGTGGATAAATTAACTATAAGAAAGCATGATTAAATGCAGATGTGTCTTATGCTGTAACATGTTTGTCCGGGATGTCACATATCTTGTCGCAACATAAATAAATTAAACTGAAGGAGATGAAAGGAGAAAGAAATAATAATGATAATATATGTAGATTAAAATAAAGAGAATTTTTGCGCACATATCGTTTACAGTTTATTTTTAATTGTGTTTAATTATAAATATTACCACTGTGTGGAGATCTCATCATTGAAGTTTCTCCCAGTCCCTTGGTTATATCAATAATTCACATTATTTTTGGCTCAGATTTTCTCAAAACTGAATTCAAATATTTGCTACGTCATCAGTTTTATCGTTCATGGATGATACTTCAATGGTACATGTAGTTAAATACTTCCAATATCTTTAGGTACGTAATAAAACATGGCGTACTTCTGCTCTGTGTACCGTAATTTTGAATAACATACTTTGATGATCTACGATGAGTTCCGTTAACATCTGTACGTGCAACTATTTTTCTAGTTTTATTTTGCTTTAAATATGTTATGTTTTGTTAGAAACAATGGCGAGACTCTAATTTATGGACGAGCCAATCAGAGGCGTTTTAGAGATTTCATGGTTACGGCGCCAACTTCAGTGCTTAATGCTAACGTACGATCGGTTCACAGGGATAATTGAGCGGCTATAACAAATAAAACGGCGGGACTATAATTTGTGGACGAATCAATCAGGTATAAGATAATAGATCTCGGATTTTAACGCGAAAGCCTTTCATCCATTTGGCTAAATAAATTTCTGGCATTATAGCTGATGTCAGTTCGTGATGAAAACCCCATATATAATTCGTAACTAAGGCAAATTACGACAATCATTGCGAACTGGATAATAAAAGCACCAGTAACACTGGCTGCAGCCAGGTAGTACATTATATACGGATGTTTGGAGAGCGTACTGACTCCTACATAGTCTTGGTGATGTGAATCGTGTCGTTATCCACAAGTAGCATTTTGTGCACACAACAACCGGAGTGCACATAAACAATATTGAAGCTATGTGGTCGAGGCGGAAAGAGTTTTTGAGACTTTATCATGGCTCCAAAGGTCGACTATTCTGTAGCCATATGGATAATTTCCTCTACTGCATGAATTACGATTTTAGAACCTCTGAACCTCTTTCTAACCCTGATAAGTTTTCGAACCACGTATAAGAAGTGTATCCACTTTATTTCCTTGGTTTTATATAACATATTTTTACTCTATGCTGACTGTTTGCTGATTGGCTAATATTTCTCAAGGTTACTTAAGATTCGTTCAAAGGTCGTCCATAAATTATAGTCTTGCTGAAACAATATTGACCATATGCAAAGTAAAGTACTATTTCAATGAAATTCAACAATCTCTACAAGCCCATACTGAAAAGTAAATAATGTTACTTCTTGTTTAGTACCAGTAAAGTACTGAATGCTTTGATAAAACTATACTTTAGCAACGAACCAATCAAGTTCCAGGTAGTGATTCAGATTTGTACATAAAAATCGAAATGCAGTGACAGTTCGTATTCCTTAATGAGTAGTAGAAGTAGAAGTTGGCTTTATTTAATGCTCAAATATTTGAAATCGACAAATAAATAGTCTATTCTATTACCGTGCAATGGATATAACATGTTATGAAAACTAAGTTACGAAAAACGTTTGCTTCTTCGGATTCTGATTGTGTCTGAAAATTAAGTCATTATGAATTCATTCATTTTTCTGTTGTTCAAAGTAAGCTTTTAAGTATATCATCTCATGAACCAACTCAGTGAATAATAGACACTTTCGTGTAGTACAAATTACTTGAAGCAGTCAGAAATTTTATTAACATAGTTTTTTGATGTATTTTACGTAATTTTGTAGAACTTTCAGGTAGTATGCACATATATATTGTGAAAAATATATTTTAAAACATGATGGGCCTATCTTTGACCTGTAAAACACTTAAGATAAAAATTGTCCTCTTAAATTAATTTTTTTTGTAGTAGTAGTCGATCTTCGGATTCAGAAAATAAATTGTAAATCTTTGAAAAATTAATAAACATTGTAAAGCTACCACATACTTTTAAGATTCACCAATTTTGTAGCGATGAATTCTTGATTTTCGAAGCCTTTTCATTCATAGGTTAAAATAAGTATTCTGAGGTCATTTTTTGGAGTCGCTAAAAGTAATCGTCTTAACAGTATTTTTGATATACAGACATAATGGTATTGGAATCTGAAACATGTTTAGGAATTCATAAATTGTCTAGATCTACTATTAGTTATGTAATATTGGTGTTTAATAAACTAGAGGATTTTGTATTTCATAGGCAGAAGTATAATTTTCAAGTTACCGAATTTCATGTTTCTAAAAGTATCTGGTTGCTTCATAATATCAACTGCTTAATTTATATGCAATGATCTATTGAACCCTGTGCTATATTGTCGCTCAAAATAATGTACATAAATCTCTCCTTAGTCTGTTTACTTTCGATAATTGTGTTGTGGTTAAAATGAAGTACCATTAAAATGTTATAAGATAAAAACAAACTATACTATCTTCAATGAAGAATTCGATCATTTGTTAGATATCTAGTCTCTAATTACTGGGATGCTTTTAAATATATCTTGATATATTTATGTACAATACAGAAGTGTCAGTACTAAGCAGTGCCAAAAACTTACGCAAAATAAGACAATGATATTGTGAAGAGATAGAAAACGAAGAAATCATATCAATCAATGAGTAAGAATAACATTTATTTAGAGATATTTCTATCAAGATGAACTTCGTCCTGTTGTAATATGAATCTCACTTTTGCTCTGTTGGATTGTATGCTCAACCTTTCACAACCAAAATGAGGCAGATTAAGATGAACCAAATAGGCTTTCATTATGTATAGATTTAGTTCAACTCTCACGTTGTCACCAGCACTCGGATGTCCAAATATCTTTACTATTCTCAGCTATATTACAAAGGATATGTAGGCTCCTGCCAATCTCGCAGAAACACTGTGTCTGGGTAATGTCAAGGTGCATGCTTCATTCAAAACCTAAAGTACATGGAAATGATTGCGTCACATCCCACTGTCAATAATATCCACTGTGTTTACCAATTTAAATGTGTGTGTGGTCACACATAAGTAGGGAGGAGTAATCGTGATCTCAACATTAGGGTGCGTGAACATATACCCAAATGGCTTCAGAAACAAATACAATCAAGTGACCCAATAAGAGCAGAGGATAAACATCCATCATCCTCTATCGCTAAACATATAATTGAAACAGGTCACAAGATTGATCTAAATTCAGCTTTTGTAGTGTTGTGTAAAAGGGCGTATGCTAAGGTTTATTGAAGCCTTAGCCATACGAAAATTCGAACCCCCTTGGTGTGTTCACAAACAGTTTGTTGTTACCTTAAACCTACTCTGGTAATATTGACTTATTATCCAGTGTGATTAGGTTTCAAATTGTGTTCACATTATTATTATTATTACTCTTATCATTATCCTTATCTCCTCTTACCCCATTTCCTGTCTAGTTGACCTTTTATTTTTATATATAAATGCTCTTAACAAGTATATGTGTGACCAGATTGTTCGAAATGTATTGCGCTAATATATCACATAGTTCTGATAATCTTCGTCTTCTAATATCATTATCGAAATGTCGAGTATGTAATATTCACTTTGTGCAATGCTACGTGTTAATTACAACGAAGAATTCTCAGCTATTCTTCGCGAAATCGCTAAGTACAATTTGAGTGACTCATTCCATCGCAGAAGAATAATGTTAATTAGATCTTTTCCCGGATAATTTATCCGCAACATGTACTTTCTTAACTGCTTCCCAAATGTCATCGGTGGCAGAACCGAACAGGGCTGGTGATATTGAGTTACTGTCTAATCTCAATGCTAGACTGAATCAATGGAGAGTGGTAGTTACATGTCTTTTCTCTATATGATATGTTTTTTTTCACAAAACGTTTAAAATGTTAATCAACTTCTCAGAAATACTCCAACAGACTCCTATCCAACAAAGGGATGGAGGCCCTGATATCAAGGAATAGTAATTTTATCTTGGAATGACTACATTACATTGGGTCAATTACATATCGACCAAATAATATGACCACGCAGCTGTCCAAGATTTGGCTTTCTTTTCTAAAGGGCGAGACGTCTCGCTGGTTAAAAGATGTATCTTCATTTTCTAATGGACAAAGGTATGTGTGTATATATGAATAGGTGTAGAGTTATTACTCAGCTGGCCAATAAAAATCCTCATTAAATTAGCCGGTTGGGACCGAGGTTAGAATGCTTGTTTATCAGTAGCGAAGTCGAACAACACTACTGGGAGTTTTCAAGGACTTTAGCAGAGGGTGAAGATATGTTCAGTACACCCTCGGGATGAATGAAGACAGTGTTACATCTTGTGAGTCAGCTCATGAGTTTCGCACAACCTGTGGAGATATAACGGGATCCAATACTTGAGAAACAATTGGAAGCATATTTTCGTGGGTCCTTTTTAAAGATGGATACTATAATCACTTCATTCGATGGTAGCCGAACGCTTTATTTACTAAATCTTTCTAAATAAACAGACCAGTTTTATGACTAGAAATACGTTTTTATCCTTGAAAAGAGCCAAATCTAAGTTCTTTGAGCCAGGCAACTTACGATGCTTCAAAATTTTAAGTTCCTTACGGACTTTTGCCTCGTCGGGTTGATATGTGGTTACATGCCCAATAGCATAAGATATTTCGATAACGTCGCTTAGTGAATGGAATAGTAAAACTGGTGAGTAAAGTAATTTGGCCAGACCTCAAGATGCTTTCGACGATTATCAACTTGCATGTCGTTGAGCTTATGGTTTGCTTCACTGATACAAATTTTCTTCATTTAAGTAGTTTGGGCAACTTTGAACGACTGTGAGTAGTTATTAAATATATTTGATGTTTTCAACTTCATAGAGCATTCTAATGATTGGGTTTAGCGGTTCTTAGGAAGTCTTGCTATATGACTTGTAAACCCTGTCTTGATAAAGATGCTGGTTCAGTATTACTGGGCATGGATGATTACATTATGGTGATGTAGGAAGATTACTATGAATGCCTATATGTAACGAAATATCTTATATGCAAAAACAAACGTGACATAAATAGTCCAG